TGTTCTGTGAGCTAATATATGGTCTATTTTAGAAAATGATCCATGTACTGCTGAGAAGAATGTGTATTCTGATGTTGTTGGGTGGAACATTCTGTATATGTCTATCAAACCCATTTGTTCACAGGTGTGATTCAGTTCTGTTATTTCTTTGCTCATTTTCTGTCTGGTTGATCTGTCCCTTGGTGTCAGTGGCGTATTAAGGTCTCCTGTTACAATTGTGTTACTGATAATTTGAGTTTTCATTTCTGTTAATAATTGTTTTATATAACTGGTTGCTCTGGAGTTTGGTGCGTATATATTTAAGATAGTTATCTCTTCCTCTTGGAGTTTTCCCCTTACGAGTATGTAGTGACCTTCTTTGTCCTTTATGGTCATTGTTGTTTTAAAATTCACGTTGTCTGCAAACAGAATGGCTACTCCTGCCTTTTTTTGGATTCCTGCTGCATAAAGAATTGTTTTCCATCCTTTGACTTTCAGTCTGTGAGTATCTTTCTGGGTTAGATGGGTTTCCTGTAAACAGCATATGGTTGGATTTTGTTTCTTGATCCATTCTGCTAGTCTGTTTCTTTTGATTGGTGCATTGAGACCATTTACATTAATGGTTATTACTGTTAAATGCTGGTTAATTGTAGGAATGTTATCTCTCTGCTGTTGCATCTTTATCTTTCAGTTCTGTTTAATTATTTGCTTTGCTTAGTGGTTTTTTCCTTTGTGTATCTAAACTGTCTTGCAATATTTTTTGCAGGGTTGGTTTGGTGTTCATGAAGTTCTTCAGCTGTTCTTTGTCATGGAAGTATCGTATTGCACCATCTATTTTGAATGATAGTTTTGCAGGATATATCAATCTTGGTTGGAAATCATTTTGCTTTAGGATCTGGAATACTTCACTCCATGCTCTTCTTGACTTTATCGTTTGTGCTGAGAAGTCTGCTGTGATTCTGATAGGTTTTCCTTTATAAGTGATTTGTCTTTTCTCTCTGACAGCTTTTAATAATCTATTCTTGTGTTGGATTTCTGGGATGGTGATTATTATATGTCTGGGTGTAGTTTTATTTTGGTTATGACTGTTTGGAGTTCTATATGCTTCACTGATCCTGATGTCAGTTTCTGATCTCATGCTTGGGAAATTTTCAGCTATCACTTCTCTAAATATCCTCTTGACATCCTTCATGTTGTCTCCCTCTCTTTCATTAATCCCTATCATTCTTATGTTATTCTTCTTTGCATCGTCTTGCAGTTGTTGAATTGTTGTTTCCTGGTTCCTTGTTATTTTCAAAAGATCTTTCCTTTCCTGTTCACTAGCTGCAATCCTGTCTTCAAGGTCTGAAATTCTATCTTCACTTTCATTAAGGCGGTTTTTACAACTTTCAGTGGAGTTTTTTATTTCCTGTATATCTCTGTGCATCTGCATTATGTATTCTGTTTGTTTCTTATATTGCTCGTCTAGGGATTCTATCTTTTTGTTTAGTTCCTCCAATTTTTTATCTGTGTTTTCTTTAGATATATTTAGAATCTCTTTCATTTCTTTTATCATTTCTTCTTTTATCTGGGAGATTATTTCGAGTTTGAATTTCTTTAAAGCTTCCTGGAGTTGCTTGTCAATTTCAGTGGCTATTGTGTCCGATATATGAGGTGGATGGGATATATTTTCTTCTATATACATCGCTCCTAGGGTTTCTTGAGATGGGCTGGAGGTTTGAGGTTGTAATTTGGTCTTTCGTTTTGTCATTTTCCTATATTTCTGTGTTTCAAGTGTTATTTGAAAGCTTCCTCAGGATCTGTTGAAAATCCCCTTCTATGTTTGGAGCTACTGAGACTCTGGCGCCGCGCTACCCCAAGCCATTAGGCCTACAGAACCAGTGGCCCTCCTCTGCCTGCTCAGAACTCCGCAGTTCCAGACAAGCTGGGCCTCAGGGACACTGTGCGCCCACCTGCCCCTTGGAAGCTCCACAGTTCTTCAATCGCAGCCGGGTTAGGGTACTCACCACAGGCCGCAGTGCTTCAGGAACCTGTGGACCCTCCCTGGTTGCAGAGATATCCACAGTCCTCCAGACACATGGAGAGGCCGATGCAGGCACTCCAAATCTGCCCAGCTCCTCCTCTGCAGACCAATGGCCAGGCGCGGCAGCTAAACAGGCTGGGCTAGGCTGGTAGTGTGGGCCAGCCCACCTATGGGGAGCTCAGCAGGACTCCAAATGAAGCCGGGAATGGGGAGGCTGATGTGGAAGCCTCAAACCCACCTCTCTCCTTCACTGCACCTGGAAGCCTGAGGGAACTCCAGCAGTCTGGGCGCAGATATCCAGAGTCCTCCACACATGCAGAGAGGCCAGTGAGGGCACCCCAGATCTGCCCAGCTCCTCCTCTGCAGACCTATGGCCAGGCGCGGCAGCTAAACTGGCTGGGCTAGGCTGGTAGTGTGGGCCAGCCCACCTATGGGGAGCTCAGCAGTTCTCCAAATGAAGCCGGGAATGGGGAGGCTGATGTGGAAGCCTCAAACCCACCTCTCTCCTTCACTGCACCTGGAAGCCTGAGGGAACTCCAGCAGTCTGGGCGCAGATATCCAGAGTCCTCCAGACATGCAGAGAGGCCAGTGAGGGCACCCCAGATCTGCCCAGCTCCTCCTCTGCAGACCTATGGCCAGGCGCGGCAGCTAAACTGGCTGGGCTAGGCTGGTAGTGTGGGCCAGCCCACCTATCGGGAGCTCAGCAGTTCTCCAAATGAAGCCGGGAATGGGGAGGCTGATGTGGAAGCCTCAAACTCACCTCTCTCCTTCACTGCACCTGGAAGCCTGAGGGAACTCCAGCAGTCTGGGCGCAGATATCCAGAGTCCTCCAGACACGCAGAGAGGCCAGACACCCAGATCTGCCCAGCTCCTCCTCTGCAGACCTATGGCCAGGCGCGGCAGCTAAACAGGCTGGGCTAGGCTGGTCCTAATTTACTTTAAAGGTAGATAGCACACACTGTGAGCGTCAAATCCTACTGTACCACTGAGCTATATCAAATTCTAAATTAGGTGGTTGGTTTGACAAATGACCTGTAAACATAAAAAGAAATGTTTAGTGTTCCTGATAAGGAGAATTTAATTTTATAATGGAGTGAAATATTTTTCAGCTACAGAGTTTGTGAGTAGAAGAGCAGTTTATCCTGCTGCTTAAAATTGGAGATGGCTTATGACTTTTTCAAATAGGAAATTTGATTCAAGTACTGTACCACGTTTAGGAAAGCGTATGTCCACTCATCAGTTCCTTTCTAGAATACCTTCAGAACATACAGACACGTTAAATGTGCTTTTCTTCATTGTTGCTTAACATAGTGATGGATTCACAGAAAGATTGTATCAGTTGCAGTGCATTGCAGAATGGAGTGATATATAATCACTGAAACTGGCATCACATGAATGTATTTTTAACAGGGAAAGATGCACTTTGATATATCCACTGAGACGAGAGTCAGTTTACTTTTGCCTACACACAATTAGGCTGCAGTCTTGTGTCAGAAAATGTATACAAATTGTGGCAAAATTTGTTATTTTTAGGCATTTGAACGAGAGGTGAAATTTTCTGTTCTTTTTTATTATCTAGAAAGTCATTCTATTCATAATATTTAAGAGTTTCTCATTAATTTTTTCACTCTAACAGAGTTTCATTGGCACCAGAAACAATGTTGAATATTCTGTATTTTTACATTTTTGTGCCTTTCATTTTGTACTATCTCATGATCAGTAATGGCAATAATGGTTCTGTGTGCCCTTCTTTCCTTTCTCTTATCCTTGATTTCTACAATAAATAAATATAAAATTCTAGTGAAAGTTGTCTTAATAAAATAATTCTTGGGAAAAACACAAACATTAGTTAAGCACAGATAGTTTTCATTTTTTCTGTGTGTGTATTGGTATTTCTGACAACTTTTTGCTTCTTCAAAAATAAAGATATAAAGAAATTATCTGTACTTAGAGATTTTACTATGAATCATGTGATGATGCCATATGAAGAAAACTTTTAAAGCCACTGCAGGATACTGAAGCCTTTTGCCCAGGAAGCAGCTTCATTGCTGCTCAGACTAACTCAGCAGATTCATGCCTAGTATCGCATGTTAGCCCCTTTTTATTCAATTTTTGTCTTTTCATCACCCTTATATGGGCACATGCAAGGATTTTCCAGTCTGGTCGGTATACCTTAACATTTTACAGGCTGGTTTTTGTTACAGAGTCACATCAGTAGCATACACAGTGTTTGATCCTACGCAGTAAAAAGCCCCCATACTCCAAAGGTCAGGAGGGGACCTTCCACACTGCCAGGTATAGTTACACAAGAGCTTTTGTCTTCTGAGCTTTGTGTGCCTTTCCAATGACAGAGGTGTTAAAATATGAGAAAAAGTGTCTGGAGGCTTATTGAAATAATCCTAACCCCACAAAGAATGTCCATTTTAATTATTTTATTTTACTTAATTGAAATATTGTCTTTGTTAAGTAGTAATAGTAGACATTATAGTATCTGACAATTATTGAGCTGTTATTTGTTCTACAAGTTGTTCTAAATATTTTGTGCGGATTCTTATTTAACCATCTCAGTGGTGTCTTCTGAGAGAACTGAGAACTTCAGTTCTCATTTAGTAGGTGAGAATCCCGAGGCACAGAAGGGCCAAAGGATGGCTAGAAAGTAAGAACTTAGGGTAGAAATTAAATTCCAATTGAGCTAAATCTGAGGCCTGTTCTTACTAATTCCAGTGGGTTGCACTAGGCTGGGAGGTAGCGCAGTGCAGGGACCTTGTTTAGTACGTGCAAGACAGCAGCTTCCATCCCCCACACTATGTACACAAAGCATCACCCACTTGCACTTCCATTCACAGGTGAGCAGTAAGAGCTGTGAAGCATTCTATGTTTTCAAAGACAATTAAATACTTCTTGTTAAAGATATTTAATTTTCATAATAATTCCATAAATAATTTTGCATTTTGAAATGGAGCGCTGTAATTTCCTAAAATCTTCTTGACTGTCCCAGGACTGCTCTGCATTATGCCAGTGCCTATGGCCATCCAGAAGTGGTGACTCTCTTGGTAAAGAGCAAGTGTGATATTAATGCCTGTGACAGTGACCATGACACCGCTCTGATTAAGGTAAATAGCAGCCAACAATTTCAGCATGGGAGGGATTGTATTTAAATGCTGAAAATCAAAGTCAGTCAGTGTAATTTGAATATAACTCCTTGGCCAGGCATGTGGAAAGTGTGTTTGGAGTTTCTTGAGCTGATGGTGTCTCCTTTATTACAATACCCACAGGCTGTAAAATGCTACGAGGAAGGCTGTGCTAGTATTCTCTTGGAGCATGGTGCAAATGTAAATATTGCCAATGCCAAGGGCAACACTGCTCTGCATCTTTCGGTTTTTCATCCAAAGTCTTCACTAACAGCAAAACTGCTTTCGCATGGTGCCGATGCTGAGGCAAAAAACAAGGTATAGAGCACTGAATTTTCTTTCCAAAGTTTCTGAAATACTTTCGTGTTCACAGTGACATATTGGTTGGTCAGTTTTCCACATGTAGAAACTCAAGTGTTTCATGAATACACTGTTTGAAATAACTTGATAGTTAATGTTTTCACTTTCAATGTTGATAGTTTTAATGAAATGCTAGAGGATGTGAGTTTCTTTTATGCACTTACAGTATTTGTGAACACACTGAATTTTAAAATGTAAAATTTTTGTTTCAAAAGGTTTCTTTCTTTCTTTTTTGCAGTAGTGTAAAACAGCACAAGATAGCAAAATTAACCTCAGAATTTGGTTTTATTTTAAAACTTAAACAGAGCAATAGTGTTTTTTTATTTAAAAGAAACAACAGGAAAATGGTAGAAATAGCACATAATTTCAAAAATAATTAACAGTAAGAAATCACTAGTTGATAAATCACATACTGTTCTTTTAGATATAGTTCAAGTTACAAAAGTAAAGCATACAAAGTGGCTGGTCAAACAGCAATACTGCAAACTGTTCTTTTCAGCTCTCCAAGAAAAATTTACTAATAGGGTTATCAAATGTACTGTCACACATACGTGCAGTTGTAGCCTTTAGATCAGTTTTTTGTCCTCTCTTTTTCACAACAGCAATTACACATTTTGTGTTTGACTACTCCTACATTTCTTATTACATTTCACACTAGAGACACACTGTGATATTTATAAATATGATTATTTATTTATTTCATTAGTGAGAAGAGCCTCAAATTGTCTCCATTTGCCTATGAAAGCCTCAACAGCAACCTTTTTATAGCTGAGTAATATTCTATTGTATAAAAATATCACATCTTTTTCATCCACTCTGCAGTTCATGGGCATCTTGGTTTTTTTCAAGTTTTAGCTATTACAAATTGTGCTGCTATGAACATGGCTGCACATATCTCACAGGTATATGACATTTTCCATTTTTCTAGGAAAATACCAATGAGGGAACTCACTGGACCGAATGGAACTTCCAATCCTAGTCTTCTGCAAAATTTCCATACCGATTTCCATAGTGCCTGTGTCAGTCTACACTGCCAGCAATCGTGGAGCATTGTGTCCCCCCCCCCCCCACCACAGCCTCGCCAGCATTTGTTATCAGTTGATTTCTTGATTGCAGCTATTCTTTTCGGAGTGAGAATCTCGATGATGTTTAAATTTGCATTTCTCGAATGACCAATGATGGTGAACATTTCTTTCACCATCATTGTAATTATTTGCCATTTGTATATCTTCATCTGAGAAATGTGTGTTCATCTCAGATGTTCATTTTTGGAGAGGGTCTCTGAATTTGGGCTTGATGTTTTTCAATACTTTACACATTCTGGATATAAGTCCTTTGTCTGAGGAGTTGTTGGCTAAAATTGTTTCCCATTCTGTGGGTTTTCTTTTCACTCTGTTAGTGATTTCTCTTGAAGTGCAGAAACTTTTGAATAATATGAGATCCCAGGTGTTGATTCTTTGAAGTGTTTCCCATGCAGTTTACATTTTGTTCATGAAATCTCTGCCTACCTCTGTCTCCAAGTCTTCTGCCTACCTGGTCTTCCAGTAGATTTAAGGTTTCTGTATTAATGTTTAGGTCTTTGGTTCATTTAGACTTTAGTTTTGTGCTTGGTGATAGGCATGGGTCTATTTTCAGTCTTCAGCATGCAGAGAGCCAGTTTTTCCAGCCCCATTTATTAAAGAGTGAACATGGTTAGCCCCATTGTCAAATATCAGGTGGTTGATTGTTTTTGTAGTTGTGCTTGCATCTTCTAATCTGTTCCATTGTTCCCCAGGTGTATTTCTTTGCCAATACCCTGCTCATTTTATCATTGTGCCTTTGTAATAGAGTTTCAGGTCAGGAATTGAGATGCCTCCTCCCTTACCTTGGTTTCTCAGAATTGCCTTTGCTATTCTAGGTTTCTTCTGTTTCCAAATGAATTTCAGGAGTGTCTTCTCTAGCTCTGTGAGGCACGTTAATGGTATTCTGATTGCAATTGCATGAAATCTGTAGAACAGTTTTGGGAGTATGGCCATTTTCACAATATTGAGTCTTCCTAGCCAAGAACAAGGAATACTCTTCCATTTTGTAATATCCTCTTCAATCTCCCTTTGTAGTGTAGCATAATTTTCAGCAAATAGGTCTTTTACATTCTTAGTTAGGTTGGTTCCTAAGTATTTCATTATTTTAGATGCTATTGTGAAAGGTGATATTTCCATAAATTCTCTCTCGGTGAGTTTTTTGGTTGAGTACAGGAATGCTATTTGTTTTTGAGTTTTGACTTTGGATCCAGTTACTCTACTCAATTTTTTTATTATTTCTAACAGTCTTCTAATGGAAATTTTTGGGTCTTCTACATAGAGTATCATGTCACTTGTAAATAGTGATAATTTAACTTCTTCCTTTCCTATATTTATTCATTTTATTTCTCTCTCTTGTCTGATTATCCTGGCTGGTGTTTCCAGAACGTATTTGAATAGGAATGGTGAAAGTGGACATCCTTGTCTTGTTTCTGATTTTAAAGTAAAAGCTTTCAGCTTTTGTCCATTTAGTATAATGTTGGCTATTGATTTGTCATAGATTGGCTTCATAAGATTGAGGTAGACACCATGTGTTCTGAGTATCTGAAAGGTTTTTATGATGAACATGTGTTGGGCTTTATCAAAAGCTTTTTGTGCATCTGTGAAGACGACCATGCGGTTTTTGTTTTTGGCTCTGTTGATGGGTTGTATTACATTTATTGATTTGCATAGGTTAAAGTATTCCTGCCTTCCTGGAGTGAATCCCACTTGGTCATGATGTATAATCTCTTGATTCTTTGCTGCATTCTATTCTTGCCAGTATTTTATTGGGAATCTTTGCATGACTGTTGATTAGTGAGATTGGCCTATAGTTCTCCTTTTTGCTTGGGACTTTCTCTGGTTTTGGTATGAGAGTTATACTGGCCTCCAGGAATGATTTAGGGAGGATTGCTTCCTTTTCATTTTCATTGAAGTGTTTAAGCAGTTTAAGGAGAAGTTCTCTAAATTTTTTGTAGAATTTAGCCATGAATCCACAGGATGTGGGCTTTTCTTTGTTGGTAAGTTTTTAATTATAATTTTAATTGCAATAGTTGATACCGGATTATTTAAATTTGCTGTATCTTCTTGGTTGAGCTTTGATAGTTCATATGGTTCTGGAAATCTGTCCATTTCCTCTGTATTTCCCACGCTATGTGAGTAGAGATTTTCAAAGTAGGTATTCATGATGTTTTGAATTTGCATGGGATCTGTAGTAATTTCCCCCTTTTTGGTCTTTATTGCCTGAATTTAGGCTTTTTCTTAATAAAGTTAGCTAGAAGCTTGTCAATTTTGTTTAGTCTCTCAAAAAACCAGTTTTTTGTTCCATTAATTCTTTGTACTGTTTTTTAAATTTCCATTGCATTGATTTCTGCTCTAATCTTTACAATTTCCTCTCTTGTATGAGCTTTGGGTTTAACTTACTCTTCTTTTTCTAGAAGCTTGTGATGAAGCATTAGGTTGTTTATTTGTTGTCGTTCTTTTTTTTTGATATAACAATTTATTGATATATATTTCCTTCTTAAGTCTGCTTTCATTGCGTCCCATAGATTACAGTATGTTGTGTCTGCATTTCATTGATTTGTAGCTATTGCTTTATTTCTTCTTTATCTGTGGCCCACTGGTTCTTCAAAGGGTTGTGATTTAATTTCCATGTAATTATACAGGTTTCACAATTATTCTGCCATTAATTTCTAATTTCAGTGTGGTCAGATGTGTTTCTTGTATACAGCATACTGTGGGATCATGTTTCTTGATCCATTCTTTCAACCTATTTCTTTTGATATGTGAATTGAGACCGTTTACATTTATGCATATCAGTGGTATGTACTGGCTTGACTTTGCCATGTTGTGTTCCAGTTCTTTGATTTCTGCTTGTCCTACCAGGTGGTTTTTTTTCTGTTGTAGAACAACAGTATTTTAGAATAAGTGGAAATGTTGTTGCTGTTGACAGTTCATAAAAATGATCCATTTTTGGTGACTTGACTTAAATGGGAAAAATGACAAGGAAAAATGATTAGAAATAATGCAAGCCAATAGTGTTTGGTTGTTGATTAGTTGCTACTGAAGGAATACAGTTTCTGGTTCATGTGCATAGATAAGATGCTCTTCAATTTTAGGAATAAAATTTGTTTTTTTCTACTTATTACTGGAAATTGAACACAGACCCTTCACACAGAGCTGTGTCTCCTGTTCAACTGTGCTATGTTTTATTTTTGGTAGGATATGAAGTTGTCTTATTTGAGATTGAACATGCGATGTGCCTGCCTCATATTCCCATAGTGCAGTGATTACTGGCTGTACCTAGCTTGAGAATAAAATCTCTTTATTCTGTTTTTTTTTTATTTTTCTTTTTACATGCTTTTTTCAATAGTGGCACTCAAACTCTGAATCTTGCACTTACCAGCCAGGCACTGTGTGATGCTGAGCTACATTCCCATCCTCTTAAAAATTCTTAGTAGAAAAGAAAACCATATATTGTTTTTTAAAATTTTTATTTAAAAGGAAAAAGAGAAAAACCAAAACAAAACAAAGCAGTGTAAGAGTACAAGTAATACAGAACATAAAAAAAAAAAACCACTAAGAAATCACCAGTTAATAGATTACACATTATCATCCTAGAGATAGTTGCTCAAGTCAGAGTATCAAAGCATACAAAGTGAACATTCAAACAGTGAGACTGCAAACAGTTGTGTTCAATGATCCAACCAAAAACATTAATATGGTCAGCTATTAAACACCCCTAAACACACTTGCAGTTATATCCTTTAGAGCACTTTTTTTCCCTCTGTTTTTTATAACAAAATTATATATTTTGGGTTTTATTACTCCTTAGTTCTTATTACTGTTTTTTTTGGGAAGAGAATAAAGTCAAATATGGGAAAACAAAGCTGTCAGTCAAAATCAAGGATAGACACAGTACATGATGTGATAACAGAGTACAAGGTTATCAACAATGGTTACCATAATGCCTCTTGCTTCCTTAAAAAGAATTGTCTATCTCATTAGGTATTATAAAGTTGAACAAAACAGTAGAGAACAAGACCAATAAAACCTAAACATTGTAAACATTACAGCACTTCCAAAGGAGATAATAGTCAAACCAGAATGGGCATCTTAGTGAATCTTATTGCCTTCAAAGTAGTTGCCATACTCTTGATACTATCATATAGAATGGAACAGAGTCTAATCAGTCAAAACAAGATAGTGGGAGTATTACAGGACTTCAAAACAAGTTAATAGGAAATCAAAAAAAGTTACTATAATATATCCTGCTAATTTTTAAAATTTTTCCCCTTAATTAAAAAAACCATAAAAAATAACTAAATAATCTTTTTAATGAATAAGGGAGAGATTGAGATAAAAGAGGACATAACAACATAACAATACAGGTCAAAGCATGACAATTTCAGCAACCTAGTGCTTCACCACCAAATAACCCGACTTACTTGCAGTTAACATAGTGTCTATCTTTTTCCTTGAAATATTTGAATATAACTTCATATACTATAGCTTCAAATATTTCCATATCAAGAAGCCCAGAATAAAGCCTTTCCAAGTTAATAAGTGAAAACTTTATAAGGCTTCAAGGTCACATAATGGGGAATCATGATTACCACATACTTTTATATATTTGAATCTTTACTTACATTAGGGAAACTATTCGGTATTCACACATGCGAGATAGATTTATTTCACTTATGAGTATGGTCTCAAGCTGCGCCCCTTTATTGAGAATCATATATTGTAAACCTGAAATTTTAGGAGAACTCCAGCAATCCAGTTTGGCATGCATGAATGGTAATTAATTAAGAAACAAGGGAAATGAAAGAATAATTAAGAAAGATCCTTTCCTTTTCAGTCAGAAACCGCAACTAAGATAAGAATCTGAATTGTCCTTTCAAACATATGATGTCTTGCTGGGAGCTGGGAGTTAAGGAGCTTGTATGATGAGATCAGTTGTATTTTGAATGTACTAGTCCCTGTTCTGCCCTGAGCCAAGAGGATTAAATGGAGCTTCCATGGAGTACCTGTCTCTCACCTTCCCTCCTTTTGTCTAAATTCTCAACTAGTAAAAAGTAGTGGCTGTGTAGATGAGAGATGAAACTGATGTCATCTTCTAGGTTCTCTAGTCCTCATCTAGACTTGTGTGTTTCTGTGGTCAGGAGAAAGGTTTGAAACAGTTGAGGCTCTGCCCTGGAGATTTGGGTTCAGTAAATGTCTTAAGCCCTGACATGGATATTTCAAAATATTTCCTCAAGATTCTGACATAGCTCAGAAGCATTTAATGGACAAGCATGTTTAATGGTGAATTCCTAATTCTCAGAAACTGAAGAAATCTCTAGATGAGTTGGATTAAATACCACTTCCTTCTAATCTCTCCTTTCCAACAAAATCAGGCCAAGTTCCTTTTGTCTTTCTCTACAACTGTCAATGGGAAGTGAAAGGAGTATCATCAGTGTAACCTATTGTTGTGCAGAATCCACCACTTTCCTTCCCCCCTTTGGTCATTCAGTGCCACTGGGAAGCTCTGTATTAATTCACTAATGGTTAAGGCTTAGTCTTGATGAATTCCACATCTCTTTGTTATCATTACTGGCTCTCATTATAATCACTAGTGGCACAAAGCTGACAAATGTAGATTTTCAGGAATTTGAACAATGTCCACCTTGAATCTGTAGTTAGTTGAGGCATGTGACAGACTATGTCACTGTATTCAGTTAAGAAAGCCCTGGCAGAAATCAATGAAACTGTAAGAACAGAGATGAGAATGCTTTTTAAATTTGTATTGCTTATTTCTTAGTGTGTGTGTGTGTTGGGGGGGGGGGTAATGGAGGATTGCACCTAGGACCTTCTCACTGAGCTGCATCCCCACCATTCATCACTGGTCACCCCCTGTTAAATTTGAGACAGTGTTTCACTAAGTTTCAGAGGCAGAAATCAGACATGAACTTGGATCCCTCTTCCTAGCCTCACAGAGTGATAAGCTTACAGGGTTGTACCACCCTATGCAGCTGGGAATTGTTGTGGTAATTTCTTTTCAGCGCTCCTTTGAAACTGTTTAACAGCAGGGAGACCTGCATACAAATGGAGGATAAGTATAAGTGTTGAAAAATTATTGAAATAGTTATAATGCTTTTCATTTCATGGTAGGACCTCACTTTTTTGGTAAAACATGATGTTAAGGGAAGAATTTTACACAGAAATGCTTGCTTTGTACACAACCATTTGGCAGCCCATGCATACCAAAGGTAAAAGCAAAACTCTGTGACTTAAACGTGGCTCTTAGCTCTATGCAGTTTTCCTGCATCAATTGATCTCACAAGGAGGTTTCAGAACCCTGCTCCAAATTTGAAGTTGAAGATGCTCAGAGAGAAGGGTCTGTCCTGTCTTCAGAGCCTGTGTGACCATGCAAGTGCCCTTTTATAGACCCACCTCTGTGTTTCCCTGTGCAGACTACTGATTGTGCCTCTGTGAGAGTTTGCAGCTCTTAAAAGATGGTATATTTTAATAAAGATTCTGGAATTTCAGAATATCTTTTATTCATTTATAAGAATGTAATGTAAGTGCTGGGGTTTTATCTCAGCGGCATAAGCGCCTGCCTGGCAAGTGTGTGCTCATGAGGTTGATCCCTGGTACTGATAAAAAAGGAAAAAGACAAAAAAAAAATAAAATGTAATCTAGATTTAAGAATAAATATTTAGAAATGGAGTGGAATTTAGAAATTGTTTAAAATTGTTCCCATATGCTCTAAATAATCATGTTCCTATCAGAATGCCTGCAGACATTAATAATTATAATCACAACTGAATAATTTATGCTTGTTACCAAGAATTTTGTATCTTTCATTTCAGCCTTGCCCCTTAAAAATATGTGTCTTAATGAGTTTCATTGTGATACAATTTTCATATTTAGTGGTATGAAAATTTTCATATTATGCAGTATTAGAATTTGTTCATTATGAGAAAATCCATCCTGAGCAGTGTTATAATTTATTTATTATGTTAAAATCCAAATTGAGCAGTATTAGAATCTTTATTGATGAACCATATTTTACATTTGATTTGTATAACATTGGTAATTGAAATGGAACCAGAATAAAACTTATTAAAAGCAATAGTTATACATGGGGATCCCAGGATTGCCGTTATATATGAGAAGTGAAGTTTTGTACTCATCTTTCTAACAGCTGAGATAATATTTTCATCTAATAATAGGACATAAAGAGCCATAACTGGTTTAATAAGAAGTGATCCAAGTTCACTTGGGGCTGATCTCACAATTGAGTGACCATGTAATGGGGGTACTCCTTAAAAGCTGGAATGGTTAAGAATTGTAGTTGGATCCTGTCACCAGGTGGAGAATTCAGCAAGTTTCCTGCCTAACTGCTTTGCATGGTACCGAAACTGTTAATTCCCTGAAACTGTTAATTCCTCAGGTGTTGATATTTGGCAGAAGACAAGTAGTGTTGAATACGAGTAAAGCAAAGGTAAAGAGATTTTAATACTGAAGAAATAATGCAGTTTTATAATTTCTCAAACAGATGATTATCAAATCTGTTGAGACATAGAAGTCATGGAAAATGATTCTTTGGAATATAGGGTGAGAATTTCTGCCTAGGGATGATAATTTAACTCATTAATTTAATCCAAATCCTTCAATCCTTTTTGGCTGTGCATTATGGTTGGAGCTACTGAGAAAAAAGATACAGCCCCTGCCCTGAAGGTGCATTTGATCGAAGCGGGAGGTGTTACATAACTCTGAGTACCATGATAAAGGCTGTGATGGGAAGACCCTTGGAACCAGTGACTGGAGCGAGTTGTGACCCTGGGGTTTCTGTAGCCACTGTGGGCAGAGAGCATGCACTGCAGAGGGTATGGCAGGGCAGCACGTGTGGAAGCACTGGGAGTGAGAAGGAAGAGACTGCTGTGTGTTGTTATCTATATCAGGTTAACAGTCAGGGTCCTTCACAAGCTGTTCAGTTCAGCTGAGAAGCAGGCAGTTGTGTGGGTTTTAAATTGTTTCTGCTTCTCCACAGGAAGGCCTCACACCACTTATGCTTGCTCTAAGGGAAAACAGAATGAAAGCGGCAGCAGCATTGTTAAAAAAGACAGAAACAAAGAATGTGGTGAATGAGCCGGAAAGGTATGGTTGTTCTTTTTTTAAACAAGAGTTCAGCAGTGTTGTGGAGTGGTAATAAGTCAGCTAAGTCAGTAGCTGAAAGACTACCTTAGGGACTGGTGTATAATGAAAAAGATCAACACAAACCATCAGATAGAAAAATTATTTGGATTGGGCAACATAAGGAATACTGTGCAGTACAAGTCATGCTCTATTATTGAGTAATTTTGATGTCTGCTTTTTAATGAGAAGAATAACTTTTGTAGTAAAACAATAAGGAAGAACACTGTATTGCTATGTTCATGGAACTTCCTCAGAGTACAAAACATAAACCTAAATGCTTCATATAAAAAGGAAAAAGTGTAAATGTTTCTTTTCAGTGATTGAAAATGAGCTAGTAATATAAACAAGTTGGCATATAAAAATATTTGGAGAAGCAAAATATGCAATTTGGAAAAGTATGCTCATATAAGAGAAACCAGAAAATATTTGAACTTGTGTTTCAGACTTATTTCAAAGAACTTTATATCCTCAAGTTGCATTCATTTATCTATGAGTTCCTCAAGGTTATCTTTCTTTTTCATAGTGCAGTATTCCATTGTGTATAGTTGCCATTTTCCTTTACATTATTCTCTTAATGGATGTATACACTATTTTAGAGATGTAGCTGTTAGAAATTGTGCTGCTGTAAACATAGATATCTATATATCCCTGTATGTATGATTTTAACTATTTTGGAAGATTTCTGCAAGGGGACATAGCTGTGTCAAGTGGATTTCTATTTTTAGTTTTTGGTGGAATCACCACACTGTTTGCTGTAGTGTTCATACTGGTTTACATTTGCACCACTGGTGTAGAAAAACTCATCAGCATTTATCATTAGACTTTTTTTCATGGAAATCTTTGTAAGATAAAATGCTATCTTGGTGTATATTTAATTTGCATTTATGTAATTTCCAGATGCAATGATGAGTTTTCCATGTTTTTATTGGCCATTTGTACTTCTAACAAGTATCATTTCATTTTATTTTTCTGTTCTTTGAGCTTTCTTTACTAGGTCTATACTTTGATGCTTGTCCTCTGCCTGTGGAGTGACTAATAAGGGTTTTTTTTTTTTTTTGGTATTCTGAAGGTTGTCTCTTTCTGTTGGTTGTTTCCTTTGCAATAGAGAATCTTTTTAATTTCACGAGACTCCATTTGTTGATTCTCTATATTGTATTTTGTGCCATTAGGGTTTTGTTCAGAAAGTCCTTGCCTATGCCTGTGTCTTTGAGTACTGCCTATTTTGTCTTCCAGAAGATTGCTTCTGTTTTAACATTTAGTTCTTTGGCCCATTTTGGTTATAGTTTAGTACATGGTGAGATATGTGGATCTAGATCTGTTGCACGTAGGTATCCAATTTTCCCAGCACCATCCCTTGAAAGAATATCTTTACTCCGGTATATGTTTTTGACTCCATTGTCGAAGATCACACAGCGCTCTGGCTCTGTGTGCTTTGAGTTGTCTCTGTTTGTTGTGCTCTCTTCAACTGATGTACATGCCTGTTTCTATGTCAGTACCATGTGGGTTTCATCACTGTAACTTTATAGTGTAGCTCTGAGCTTGGGATTATGATTCTGATGCCACCTGCGTTGCTTTTGTCACTTTTGAGTCTCTTCTAATTCCACCAAATTTTAGGATAATGTTTCTTTAGCTCTGTGAGAATTGACTTTGGTATTTAACTTGGGGTTGCATGAAGTCTGTTTACCAATATTGAAAGTCAGGCCATTTTGACAGTATCAGTTTTGCCTATCCAGAAATGAGGAATATCTTTTCATTTTCTGATATTTTAGTTGCCTTTTTCTGATTTGTGTAATTTCCACTGTACAACTCTTTGCTTTCTTAGGTTAACATCTACCCATTGAAGTTTTTTTGATGCAATCGTGAATGATACTGTTTTCCTAATTGCTTTTTCAGTGAGTTCTTCAATATTGTAAAACATTGCTATTGATTTTCATCTCTGTATGTGTGTGTGTGTGTTTTATCCTTGTATCTTATTAACCTTGGCTAACAGTTCTAGAATTGTGTGATGGACAGTTTTGCATTTTGTAAGCAGAGGATCATGTCATGTGCAAATAAAGGCCTTGAATGACTATATTGATCAGGAATGGTGATAAGAAGCCTCCTTGTCTTGTTCCTGTTTTTAGAGAGAAGGCTTTTAGTGTTTCCCCGTTGCATGTGATGTAAGCACGAGGATGGTCATAAATGACTTTTATCATGTTGAGATGAAAACATTCGGTACTTATTTTCTTCAGGATTTTGAGAATGAGTGTTGCATTTTATCACAGCCATTTTGCATTTTATCATAGCCGTTTTCTCAGCCTGTTTAGATGATCATGGGGTTTTGGGTCTTGCTTCTTTGTAGATGAGGAATTAGAATTATCATTTGTGTTTATTGAGCCTCTTTGTATTCAGGGGCCACAGTGCATGATGGTTTTGATAATTTGTTGCTTTTGGTTTACCAGTATCTTATTAAGGATTTTTACATCCATGTTCATTAAACAAATTGTTCTCTAATTGCCTTTCGTGGTTGTATTATTTTCTAGTTTTGTGATGAGGATAATGATAGCTTCCAAGAATGACTTTTGAAGTCCTACTTTTATTTTTACTGCAGAGTTTTTGTGTTAGATATTCACAGAAGTTGTTATAGAGTTTCATTGTGAACCCATCAGGTTCTGGGCTTTCTTAGCTGGTATTTTTTTTTTTAAGTTCTCAAATTTCCTTGCCTGATGCTAGAAGATTCAGGATTTTCATATCTTTTTGTTCTTTTTTGGTAATCCATATATATCTAAGAATCTCTCCATCTTTTCTGAGCAAAGGCTTAGCATATACTTTCATGAAATAGTTGCTAATAACTTCTTGAAGTTTGACAATGTCTATTATGATTCCACTTTTTTATTTCTAATTGTAGTATTTTATATGTTTTGGCTTTCGATAAAATTGGCTTATGTTTGATTTACTTTGTTTATTTTTTCAAAAGCTCTTCAATTCAGTGGTTCTTTTTTTCCCTCTAGTTTCTATTCATTGATTTCTGTAATGAGGTTGATAGTGTTTTTCTTTTTACTAGCTGTGTGCTTGAATTGTTCTTATTTTTCAGTGACCTTGCGATGCATCATTATGTTTTTGAGCTCATCCTATTTTGTAAAAATGAGAATATTCACTTCTCTATACTTCCTATATTGAACTAGTTTCATTGTATCTCATAAATATTGGTGCACAACTAACTCTAGGAACTGTCTTATTTCTTCCTTAATTTTCTCTATGACTCAGTGATTGTCTTTAATATCCATCTGTTTGCACAATTTCTGTAGTTTCTTTTGCTATTGATATCTACTTGCATCGCACTGTAATCTGATAGTATGCATAGTAAAATTTTTATTCTTTTGCATTTACTTAGTTGTGCTTTATTAACCAGAATATGGTCTGTCTCCAAGAAAGTACTATATGAGACTAAAGAATGTATCTTCTGTTGTCTTTTGGAACACTGTATACAGTACATCTCCAAGTGACAAACATTCAAGTTGCAAAGTTTCAGAGATGCAAATGGGACCTCACATTACAGAAAATTGTAGATGTAAAGAAATCAGAAAGGTTGCTTGTGTGTCTACCAGACACTGCTACAGTTGTGCTGTTGTGTGCTTACAGTATGTACAGCTTTACAGAGCTACATCAGAACCTGGGTTGTCTGGAAGCAAGCAGCAGTGGTATGGATGTTGCTGCTAAGAAGTGCAAAGCAATAACCATGGAAACAAAAGTGAAAATAATTAATTGCATTGTGTCTTAGTTACTTTTCTTTCTTTGCTGACACAAAATACCCAACACTGAAAATTAAGGAAGGAAAGATTTCTTTAGCTTACAGTTTGTGGAAGTTTCTTTCCATAATCAGGTGGCTCCAGGGCAGGATGGCATGGCACCAGGGCAACACATTGACAGCAGCAGCTTGCAAAAGCATCCAGAGCAATAAGGAGGAAGAGAAAGCCTCTTTCCCACCCTTATACTCTACACAGCCCACTGCCCCAATCCAGAGCAGGTGTAACACTCCCCAAATGTCTGTCCTCCTCTTTCACAGTATGAGAAAATTTACAAAGAAGGATCCTGGATCCCTGTTGAGTCTCTCGTAAAAGGTGTAAAGTTCTCAAGTTGACACAGTGTATCAACCACAACAGATAGAGGTAAAAAAAAAATAGTACACATGGCTGGTTTTTATAACATGAATCATGCAACCATGTCCACAGTTATGAAGAAAAGGAACAATATATTGAAATGTGTGTGGTCCACTGTGCCAATGAAGCCATTTTGCTGGACTTACAGAGAAATCTGACTTCCAAAATTCTCCCTGAATAGAACTCATTAATAAGTCAGGGAAATTACTGTATATATAGTAAGTCCATTTGTTTAATGTTTGGTTCAACTTTTACATTTCTTTGTTAATGTAATTTTGTTTAGTTGAAGAATTTTTGATAATGGTGTGTGTAGATCTTTTACTAAAATTGTATTGATATTTATTATATAATTTTCATTAGGTTTTTTGGGTCAAGGTTAGTCACTGTTGCTTGGCATGTTTATAAGTATTATCTCTTTCTATTGAATAAACACATTAATGTAACATTTGTTTTGCTTTCTTTTCTTTCTTTCTTTCTTTCTCTCTCTCTCTTTCTCTCTCTCTCTCTCTCTCTCTCTTTCTTTCTGTTTTTTTTTTGTGTGTGCATGTCTCCTTTGAATAGTTTTGCCTTGAAAACAGGATTACCCCTCCTGCTTGTTTTGGGTTCTCTTCGTGTTGAATATGGTTTTGCAAACTTTGATTTTTTAATCCATGGAATTTTTATTGTATGAATATCTTTGTTTGTTTGTTGCTGCAGGGTCTCACTATGTATTACAGGCTGTCCTTGAACTTGTTTATATAGCTCAGGAAGGCCTTGAACTCACAGTGATCTCCTTGTCTCAGTGTGGCTTTACAGGCACGTGTATTTCTTGCATAGAGCATA